TATATATATATATATATATATATATATATATTTATGTGTAGTTTTTGTTTATCTGCAGCGGTGAAAAGATTAAAAAATAATAATTAGGACTCTGCGACATTTAGTCTGGTTACTTTATTTTAGGTTATTTTTTAAAATGTCACAGCGTTTCGTCCGCGTCAGTGACACACTGGTGTAGAATGTGACGTGTACTGTAATATTTTCTATTAATATTTTTTTAGTTTTTAAAATGTTGTGAATGGAGTGTTTTAATTACATGTCTGGTGGGTCTAACAAAGAAGGCGCATTTTGCGCATTAAGCACACACACACTCACACACACTCACACACACTCACACACTCACACACACTCACACACTCACATACACACACAATGTAACACAGTAACACAATAGTGTGTTACTGTAATATTTGGTTAATACAATCCTTACGCACACTCCTTACGTGTGTATATGTGTGTGTATGACAAACCCAGACACACACACACATATATAAACACACACACACTGCAGGGTCTACAGTGTCTCGCACAGATATGTGTAAAAACAACTCCTCTCTCCCATTTTCTGCAGGAGACACAAAGAGTGAGAACATGGCCAACTGGCTGACGGCTAAAAGCGGCCGGAAGAAACGCTGCCCGTACACCAAGCACCAGACGCTGGAGCTGGAGAAGGAGTTCCTTTTCAACATGTACCTTACCCGAGAGCGCCGCCTAGAGATCAGCAAAAGCGTCCACCTGACGGACAGACAGGTCAAAATCTGGTTCCAGAACCGCAGGATGAAACTGAAGAAGATGACCAGGGAAAACCGTATCCGGGAGCTGACGTCCAACTACGGATTTTCATGATGAGCGACCAGGTCATGTTGAAAATAAAAGGGAAAATATACAAATACAGTCCCCTCCACTATCCACTACTTCTACTAGTACCACTACTGCAGTCCCCCGGCGCCCACATGACTCATTCATACTGGGGTACAACTTTGTTCTGACTCCCAGACCGGAAACACAAATGTCATGGGGGTCTGCTGGTTTTTACTGATGCTGTGTTTTTGTATTTGTCCACACATTTCTGTCGTAGTTTTGGTAATTAGAGTCAGTACACACACACACACACACACACACACACACATGCAGACTGACCTGGAAAAAAGTGTTACTCCTATTATTCCCCCTCTACCTATCAACATTAATCTTTGTCTAAATTTATTCCAATAATTATAATTGCCCTATTTTTAATTGGAATTGCATGTTATAGACTAAACCTTTCCCAAATATATATATTTTTTTAATTACGAAGACGATTTAAACCCACCCTGGAAATATAAGAATACTCATGTTATCACCAGTTCGGGAGGAGAACTCCATCTATGGCCATTAGATTGTAGTCCACAGTGATATACACTAGATGTACGTACGAGCTAAATGTATAAACTGACTCTTTACTCACGTCCAGGACGTTTACACACAAGACGGGTGCGTCAAAGTGAAGGAGGACTGTTTTTCTTGTACATTTCTGTGTAAATATGACATTGTGTTCTTTTTTTTCTTCTTTTTTTTTGTGTAATGCTTAATAAATTATCAGCCAGCTTTTGGTGAGTAAATGTTTCTGTTTTTGATGTCACACGTGCTAATTCAAAACTACTTTTGTTCAGAATGTTATGCGTAAAAACGACAATTAGAACAAAAAAATAAATTAAAAAAAATAAAACGTGGTTCCACTTCAGAGCTCGCCCTGTGCTGTGAAGCAGCTCAGAAATGTTCTTGTAGGCGCTAATGTAATGGCCATCGGAAATAATTAAGAAATTAGGCTGTAAGCCGACTAGTCTGTATGCCCAGCCGGCTATTGTAGAGTTTTATGACTGGCTGCTATATGAGGTTTCTCCCTCTCCTCTAAGAGCTGCTTCAGTCGTGGGAGAGCCTTTCAGAAGGAGAGCAGGACAGAGGAGGCCCGGCTCTCTGCTCTGCAAAACACAACTCTCACAGAGGCTTTCTGGATTAAACAGCTCCTCCACCTTTACTTTGAATTACTGGGATTAACGTTAATCCGAGGTGGGGTAAGTCTCTTCATTGTTGGGGGGCTGTGGGAGAGGTTGTGTATTTTGCGCCTTGTTGTAGTAGTATACTTGGTGTGTACATTCTCCTTGTATTTTCTTTGGTGTAGACGTGTTTTGTGGACTCTTGATGACACAACCGACGACCGAATTCCGAATTGGCTGATTGGGTTTCGCTTGAGGCCCGGATCGACTGTCGAGTGGTTTAGGTAGTTTCATGTTGTTGGGGTCCATTTCTAACTCTGCAACATGAAACTGTCTTAATTGCCCCAGTTACACGCATCGAGGCAGACACCGAGAGAGCACAAACCGAGGGGCGAGACACAGATGTTTGGATTTTGCAAAGGTGATTTTGGAAGCATGCTGTTATCCTGATCAATCTGAAAGGGGAGTGGAGAGCTGGCTGGTGAAGGAGGACTGTTTTTCTTGTACATTTCTGTGTAAATATGACATTGTGTTCTTTTTTTTCTTCTTTTTTTTTTTGTGTAATGCTTAATAAATTATCAGCCAGCTTTTGGTGAGTAAATGTTTCTGTTTTTGATGTCACACGTGCTAATTCAAAACTACTTTTGTTCAGAATGTTATGCGTAAAAACGACAATTAGAACAAAAAAATAAATTAAAAAAAATAAAACGTGGTTCCACTTCAGAGCTCGCCCTGTGCTGTGAAGCAGCTCAGAAATGTTCTTGTAGGCGCTAATGTAATGGCCATCGGAAATAATTAAGAAATTAGGCTGTAAGCCGACTAGTCTGTATGCCCAGCCGGCTATTGTAGAGTTTTATGACTGGCTGCTATATGAGGTTTCTCCCTCTCCTCTAAGAGCTGCTTCAGTCGTGGGAGAGCCTTTCAGAAGGAGAGCAGGACAGAGGAGGCCCGGCTCTCTGCTCTGCAAAACACAACTCTCACAGAGGCTTTCTGGATTAAACAGCTCCTCCACCTTTACTTTGAATTACTGGGATTAACGTTAATCCGAGGTGGGGTAAGTCTCTTCATTGTTGGGGGGCTGTGGGAGAGGTTGTGTATTTTGCGCCTTGTTGTAGTAGTATACTTGGTGTGTACATTCTCCTTGTATTTTCTTTGGTGTAGACGTGTTTTGTGGACTCTTGATGACACAACCGACGACCGAATTCCGAATTGGCTGATTGGGTTTCGCTTGAGGCCCGGATCGACTGTCGAGTGGTTTAGGTAGTTTCATGTTGTTGGGGTCCATTTCTAACTCTGCAACATGAAACTGTCTTAATTGCCCCAGTTACACGCATCGAGGCAGACACCGAGAGAGCACAAACCGAGGGGCGAGACACAGATGTTTGGATTTTGCAAAGGTGATTTTGGAAGCATGCTGTTATCCTGATCAATCTGAAAGGGGAGTGGAGAGCTGGCTGACTGGCTGGCAGACTGGCTGGCTGGCTGGCTGTGGTGCACACTCCTGAGCCCGTGTCCTGCAGTCATCTCCTCGGCACTGTCGTCCACGAGGAACCCATGTGTGCTGAACTGAGTCGTGATCAAAGCTCGGCTGCAGTGCGCAATCGTGGAGCTGGGATTAAGAGTTAATCCGTGAGTGTTTTCTGTGAGTAGTGGTGACGCAGACACGCCAGACAAGGCCTCGGTTACGACCACTGCAGTGGAGGGGAAGGGGAAGGTGAATGGGGCAACAGCGACCTCCGTGGGCAGTGAGACCGGATGCTTCCGCTCTGCGCAATAGTGTCTCAGACAAAAGGAGGGGAAGGGCTTTATGGCGACATTTAGATCCGCCAGACAGGCTGTTATCTGCAGAGGCAAAAGAAGCAAATAGCCCCTGCGGTAAAGTGGGTGAAAAAACACTCTGAATTAGGTTTACAGCCCAAAAGCTATTGGCACTGTGGCGTCTTTTCCTGCTCCAGAGGTGTTTGTCTATTCTAAAGTTTTAGTGCACGAACAGACTGTGTCACCTCTCAGCATGTTTGATGAGCACTGCTCAAATAATCCGCTGGTATAGTAACAGAGAGGTGACAATCTGAGACTCTGACAGCCATCATGCTCACCTTGTCATCTCCTTTTTTTTAACGTAAAGAGGAGAGTGCTGAGAATTCCTGCGTGTTGAATTGCCTGTGGCCTTGTGGGGGTGTTGGCCACAGCTCTGCGTTTATTTGCTAGTAATAAATACAACACGCAGGCTTTAAATGTAAGAACCCAAGGCAGCCTGCCATATTGTATATCTGCAACCTGGACTTTGGTTTAGATAATAATCTACCGGTTTACGCACACACACACGCACACACACGCTTTTCCAAGAGATTAAAATGTGCATTTCTGGTATTTTTCCAGTGTTATATTCTTTAGTTTTATTTCATATAAATATTGTCAATTTAATAGAAGTACTATTTGGTTTGGCTTTAAATTGACTGATAATTAAATGTATTATTAAAACGGAGTTTATTTTTTTTCAAATGTTATTTCTGGTGTTCCCACCATTTTGCAATTTAAATATGTTTTCTAAATGTTTAGTTTTGTCCCTTTTTAGCGTACGATTATTAAAAAGGCAAGTGTAAAGTTACACCAGCGATCATCACACCGCGTTTGTTATTGGCAACGACGACAAACAACAGCGAAGGCCGACACCAGTGTTAACGGCTGTGTAAATGACACAGTCACTAATATGGACGCACATGACGGTGTTATTTTTTTTAATTCTAATTTGCGTCACATCCGGTCTTCTATTGGGCTTAAATATGTCGAAATGTTCTGGGTTTTTTTTTTTTAATTATTATTACGCTCAATGTTGTTTATCTCTGGTGTGGCGACTCCATTACGCACACAATATTTAATATTTATTATTACAAATTCACAGCCGGCACAGTTATTTTTTGTTTTACTTCTTACATTAACCCTTGAATTTGCAACGCGACATATGTGCAGAAACGACAAAACACAAACATGAAAATAAATTCTAAAAAAAATCTAATTAAAGTGTGAGTAACTCAATACTGCAGTGCCTCGTCTGACATGTGACTGGATTTTCCTTCTCTGAATAAAAAAAGTACTTTCTACTTTGTAAAACTGGTTTTATGATAAATTGATTTGTTTTCCAGGTACGTGACACATTTAATATTTCTGCATATTAGTCACCCAGTAAAGTAAAGACGCTCGTAAAAAAAGAAAAGAATAGGTGCTTATACCCAGACACTTGGCACACCCTAAATGCGCTTTCTCATGCTGCATTTAATGTTTTAATGTTATTTATTATTATGTCTGATGTCTAAATTTGTATATTTTTAATAAATAATAAAAAAAGAAAACACCATCAAGTGTAGGGACGTGGAGCGTTGTCTGATGCTTAAGAAATCACAGCTCGGTGAATAAAAATGCCATTTCTCTGCCTGTGATTCCACACACGGACGCTGTGTGAGCTTAATGCTGCACGGTTTTTATATCACGCTCGCCTTTTAAATGTGTTTTCGGTGAGCAGCGGTGGTAGGGTGCTTACGTGGCCTATAAAGTACCTCGTAAAATAAAGGCTTCCAAAAAACGCATTGTATCGTTTTGTAGGATGACCCGGAGGAGACTTTTCCCCCACAAAATGGTTAGAGCACTGATGGAAATGATTTTATTTTCTCATTTTTTTGAATTTACATCTCACAAACATCGGCTTTCGGGTCATATGATGCTATTTCTTATCTTTAAATGTGTTGGTTGTTATAGGAGAGCGGGTGAGTATTTAATGACCAAAGGGATTGATTTATCCTTTATTGTTCAGCCTTTATGATCACGTGTGCGCTGTCAGCCAATGGCGGGCCAGCCTTGCTCCCCATTACTATCCCACTGTAGTTCTCTGTGGGGCCAAGTTGCTACTTGATTTCTCCACATTGTTATTTTGTGAGGCTGGGTTTACTGCGTGTGTATGTGTGTGCCGTTGTGTGTATATGTGTATGTGTGTGTATGGGCGCTTCTTTGCACTTTTGCATGTATTTGTTGAATGACCGCGTACATGTGAAAGTCTAGATTTCTCTGCCATGTCGACATCCGGAACACTGACTAGTTACTACGTCGATTCCCTCATTCTTCCCGAGAGTGAGGACGTATCTGTGCCGAGATATTCCTCGGCTCCTGGGCTCCAGCATGGCAGACAACCCGCCTCCATCAGCGACCACCAGAGCGAGCTGGCGACCTGCACTTTCCCGTCCAAACCTCCAGTATTCGGGCCATCGTGGAGCCACGTCCCGGCTCAGTTCCCAGGCACCGTCTCCTCTGTTTACCATCACCACTATGGGCATCACCAAGGCCCGGTAGCTCCAGACACAGATGGCCGCTATCAGTCGTGGCTCTTGGAGCCCATGTCCGGCTCCCTGCCTATGACCGGATTACCGAGCACTCATCACTACGGAATCAAGCCAGAGGGCTTGGGGACGCGGGCTGACGGGGCTCTGCCGGGCTCCCACACTGCGCTGCTGCTCTCCGACTACGCGAACGGCACCGTCGCCACGACCTCACCGGTGGAGAAGGACCCTCTGTCCGGCCAAACGGCTGAGCCGAGCGCGGAGGTGGAGGAGAAACCAACTCTGGATCCCAGTAAGTGCACATGAAAATCCCTGATGTTTAAGTGTATTTATATTTACACCACACAAAGCAGTGAGGTTAGGTGCGTGGATGGGGGGGTGCGCGTCAGGAGTGGGGTCCATGAATGAGCCAGCTCCCAGCTTTATGTGCGTCTGTGTTCGTCTAGACAACATACGAGCTCGTGTTCTATTAGTCTGCGCCGAAGTGTATCACTAAATGTGTTCTTTTCCAAAAGGAAAAAAAAAAAAAGGAAAAAAAAAAAAACCTGGCCACTCCACTGTACCAATGTCGCACCCCACTCTTTTCACCAGATAACCCTGTGTCCAACTGGCTCCACGCGAGTGCCACGAGAAAAAAGCGCTGTCCGTACACCAAGCACCAGATCCTGGAGCTGGAGAAAGAGTTCCTCTTTAACACCTACCTGACCAGGGACCGTAGGTACGAGGTGGCGAGGCTGTTAAACCTCACCGAGAGACAGGTTAAAATCTGGTTCCAGAACCGCAGAATGAAGATGAAGAAGTTTAATAAAGACGGCGCACCGAAAGACGAGTGACTGAGCCGTAGACACAGAGGATTTTTAGGCTGATGAGCTCATAGGACTCTGCTGGACCTCCTTCTCCTATTTCTCCTTCTCCTTCTTCTTTTTTAACCTTTATTGTCTTATTGTTCTCTATAACAGAAGCTGTTAGGCTTAAATGTCCTATTAAAAGCATGATGGGCTTCATTTTTGCTGCGACTACCTTTATATTGCACAATTTTACCAGTGCCCACGTTGTTTTAATTGGTTCATCTCCTATGTTGATACTTTTATTATTGTTATTATTATTATTAATACCTCGTTAAAGTGTATTAGTTGGACTGTCCCTGTGCTCGTTTGTGTATGGATGTTTCTAGCTGTGTGTGTTTTCTGGTTTGTAGCTCTGTAGGATATTTGTTGTCTATCTCTGAGTCACTTGAGCGTATATATATATAGTTTGTAAAAAAAAAAAGGAATAGAAAAAAAAGTGTTAAATTTATTGTTTCTCCCTTATTCCGGTGACCGTGAATCTAACATTGGAACCCAGGATAGCGTCGCATTTTGAAGTAGATGCGTAACAGCTGACGGAAAAGCCTCTTGAAAAATGATTAGTGAATTAATTCTAGAAGCTAAATTCCATGACATTGTTGACTACCTATGTGTCCTTCAACTACCTACGACAGCTAGAGTAGATTCGCTTGCATTATTACATACCGAGCTGTGTCCGAATTGTTGTTTTTTTTTTCTTTCAGGGAGTAACACTTTAAAGGAGCATTCTGTTTTGTTAGTGAGAGGAAATGGAATTACGACTAAAAAAAGAAAAGGAAAACACTGTAGGCTTATGATACTTATTGAATACCTCACGGTCTGCTGGCCGTCTGACTTTTTTGGTTCACAAATGTAATTTGTACTTTATTTATTAAATAAAACAAATTATATCTGGGAATACGTGCTACGTCACAGTTATTTTTTATCTCAGGTTGTTCGGTTTATCGGTGCGTCAAGGTCTCCGATTGTTGTTGCGCGAAGGTCTACTATGAAGGGGTGTTGCTGTCAACAACAACAACAACACAGACACACACACACACACACATACAGACACACACTTACTAGTGCTGTTTTTCCCCTGTAATTTTCCTGTTGCACGGCCCCTTATTTATTTTCAAAAATCATAAATATATGCCTCCCCCTCCTCCCTCCCCTCTCTCTCCCTCTCTCTCTCTCCCTCTCTCTCTCTCTCTCTCTCTGTGTATCTGTGTGTTTACGTGTGTGTTGTTTCTGGGTTGGGGACAGGGCTACGTCTTGGCAGAGGATGTTGTTAGCTGTATACAGCCATAAAAGACAATTACCGCAATAACCTTTTATGGGGTGCAAAGCACTGCTAGGCGAGGGGACACAAAACAAAACAAAAAAAAAGAAGAAGACATCCAGGGCTTCGACAGCTGAAGCCCAAAATAATACGAGCCGATGTGTCTTTTTATGCACAGCTCGGATATGACGAGGCCTCAGAGCCGCCTGGAGCTAGCGCCATCCCGACGCAGCAAAAACCAACAGTGCCAACAAGCCCTGTGTGACAGAGTATGATGGAGTAGGATTCTAGATTTTTCTTCTCTTTTTTTTGCCCAAAAAGACATGAAGAGGACAATCAATCAGTCTCCGTTTAAAGTATAGCCTCCCTGCGTCGTGTCTCTGCACGTTAGGGGGAAATATTTAGCACGCACACATGGAGCTAAAAGGAAATTGTGACGTGACCTTGCAGCAACGTCTCCTGCAAAGTCACAGCTCCGTCAGAAACCGCAGGTAATCCGCGTGTCACCGAGGAGACAGTGTCGAGAGCATGTATTATTTAGAAGGTAAGTCGGACTTTGGTGTCGGCGGAGTGCTGTTGTGACGCGTTAGGAGACGCAGATGGACCCAAACTTCAAAGAGTAGAGACGTCCAGAGACAGTGCCATAAAACGCCTGGTCTGCTATACTGTCTGGCATTCCACTTTTAATGGCTTTATGGCCGTCCAGACACAATTAGGTCGTTTCCAGAATGGCACCCATTTGTTTTTTTTCTTCCCTCTTTCTGTGGGACTGCGCCCCGGACAAAAGGCCGAGCGGAAATGGTCAGCTTTATTGGATTCTCCACGACGGGGACGCGCAAGACTCACGGTCATTTGGAGCGATCCTTTGTTCCTACCTGGGAACCTTCCGCCCTCTGCTCCTCTGCTGTGCTCGTTCTTCAATGGCTGGTGCAATAAAGCCAATAAAAAGATTCAAACGCAGTGAAATGACGTTCATATTTAAACCAAAGCCTCTGACAAATCTGGCAAAACAAACAAACAAACCAACAAACAACCATGTCAAACCGACAACATTAAATCCCACCACGGTATATTCGCTGTTAGCTCGTGTTTTTCCACAACAACAATTAAAAGAACGCCGCTTCCTTCTCGCCACCCTGCAGTTCCCACTGATCACCAGTGAGTGGCGACACTGTTCCATAACATCATCTCACAGAATTAACTAAAATCATTGCTTCATAATGAAGCAGCTGTAGGAAACAGAGGTGTAGCAGTAATTTAAGGATTCACTAACATATACACTGACAACTGCAGAGCAGATAAGACGCTGCTTTTGGAGCCTGAGGCTGTGCACGGGAGAATGACACACACACACACACACACACACACACACACTGACTGCAGCATGATGTGTGTATTTTTTTCCTCCACTGACTATCTGTTCTTTTGTCCATAATTCTTGCCAAATTAATATGTTTCACAGGAATACCAACATTTTCAGCTTTTTTTATTGTATAATTTCTGTTAAACATTATGGAATCTTACGTTCATGTTACGTGTTCGAATGTCTTTCACAAGAATAATTAATAAAAGCCACTTATATATTTTCTTAAGCAATTTAAGAATTTAAATAATTTCTCCTTATTTTATTATCTCCGTATTTTTTATATATTTTTATTGAACTAAATATAATATTTAAAACTAAGAACCAGATTTAAAAAATCTCTCGAGTCCTATTCATTTGTAACTGTGATATTTCACTGACCAATATTACTATTTTTATAATATAAACTACAATTAATAACACATATAACTGTTTTGTGTGTGAGTGAGTTTTCTAGAAAAGCAATTCGAGATCATTTTTATTTTTTATAATTCTGTAATAATAATAATAATAATAAATAAAAAATACATTACCATTACTGTGCGACCAGTGCTACATTTAATGCTAAAATCACTGTTGGTATACATTTCTAATAAAACAAAATATTATTAAATTAATATAACATTATCAAGTTAATGTTACCAAATAATTGTCCAGAAAAACAGAAGATTATGATACAAGTCACGTATGCAGTAAATATACGAAATAATAATAGTAATAATAGTTATTATAATTATTATTATTATAAGTAGTGCTAAAATCCGTTATTATTATAATTATATTTTTATATCAGATTTCTATAGTTAGCTGTGTATATGAAGAATATATTTTAATTTTACACGTAAACATATAAAGAGTAAAAACTACAAATATGATGATTTTATTGATGATTGTAGGTGTCGTAACCAAATCTCTGCTTAATGCTTCGGTGAAACCTATAATTTTGTGACTGCGGATTATCATTACCGTGGGCTGAGAGTCTGTGGGAGAGAAGGGCTTTCAAATCAACACAGGTTGAAAAGCAGTTGTTAACGAAAAGTCATGTGTGTACGTGTGTACACGATCCTAAATGACGCCAATTACCTTGATCCGTGTTACTTTGTCTCTGCCGTGTGTATATATGTGTGTGTGTGTGAAGTGTTAATCCCACTCTGCAGTCCTGCGCCATAATGAATCCATGTCCGCCCCCCTCATTGGCCGAGAGCGGCCAGGCCCGGGTCACATGGTTGGATTCCTCGGTCCAGAGTAAAAATGGACTTTGGTGTAAATCTAGTGTGTATTGCTGTCATATATCACGCTCCCTCGTAAAAACGACACTGAGGATTGTGGGCCAACAAATCAGAGAAAAAAATATGACTTCTTATTATGTGGATGGTCTTCTTAGCACATTTACAGCGGCCGCGTCTCTGATTCCGAAAGTGGACCGAGCTTCCTGCAGCTCCGCTCGGGTTTGTAGCTCGGATGCAAACGTTGCTTCTCCGCCGCCATCCCTGTCTGGGGTTTACAGCGGTCACAACAACAGTGCCGGGCTCCACGGCAGCCCCACGCTGACCCCCGGCTACAGCCACTGCAGCCAGTTCGACCCGAGCCGCAGGGCCCCCGACCGCCGCCGCCCTCCCCCGCCGGGGG